AGGCCAAAAAACACATGAAAAAATGCTCACCATCTCTAGCCATAAAGGAAATGCAAATCAAAACCACACTAAGATTCCACCTCACCACTATTAGAATAGTCATCATCAAAAACACCACTAAAAACAGGTATTGGTGAGGATGTGGGGAAAAAGGAACCCACATACACTGCTGGTGGGAATGCAAGCTAGTGCAACCACTCTAGAAAAAAATCTGCAGGCTTCTTAAAAATGTAAACATTGATCTACCATTTGATCCAGCAATCCCACTCCTGGGGATATACCCAAAGGAATCCTATTCAGGTTACTCCAGAGGCACCAGCACACCCTTGTTTATTGCAGTGTTATTCATAACAGCCAAGTTATGGAAACAGCCAAGATGTCCCACTACTGACAAATGGATCAAGAAAATGTGGTATTTATACACAATGGAATTTTACTCAGCCATGAAGAAGAATGAAATCTTATCATTCGCAGGTAAATGGATGGAACTGGAGAACATCATCCTGAGTGAGGTTAGCCAGGCTCAGAAAACCAAAAATCATATGTTCTCCCTCATATGCGGATTTTAGATTTAGGGCAAATACACCAATGTTGTTGGACTCGGGTCACATGACAAGAGGAGAATACACACGGGAGGTATGGGGATATGTAGAAAACCCAAAACATGAAAGTGTTTGATGTCCCCACTCCAGAGGAACTAATACAGTAACCTTAAAGTGACAGAGGTCGCTTTATTTAAAGGGGATCAGGAACCAGTGTAAAGATCAGTTAGAAATGATTCAACTTGGATTGTAACACATTTGTACATGGAAGCCATGCTAGGAATCTTTCTGTATAGTTATTCTTAACTCAACTAGTAAAACACTTTGTCTTTCTTATTATGCTTATGTTTTCTCTTCAAAAAAATTAGAGAAAAGGGCAGAACAGGTTCTGCCAGGAAGCAATGGGGGGTGGGGGAGAGAAGGTGGAGGGCAGGGACAGGGGGGAGAAATGACCCAAACAATATATGCACATGTGAATAAATGAAAAAAAAAAAACAAAAAAAATGTTTACAACGTGATAAATCAGAAAACAAAATGTGCAAGTCTGGCCCTATGATGCAAGTGTCTTAGCTACTCTACCAAAATAATACTGTAAAATTATAGTATCCTGAAAAAAAGAAAGATGATTCCAAATTGGATTCCAAAAATAAGCCTGGTTGTTAATCATAACACCTAGTAGAATAAACAAAATATATATGCACTTCTGTATTTTCATTTTCTCTTTTTAGTGGAAAGAAAACACTATTTTTGAAAACTGAACATATGTCTACCTACGTATATATATTTTGCATGATACAAATACCTTATATATATATATACATACATATATATGAAGAAAAGACTAAAAGCATTTTTTTCTACACAAATTTCAAGTTTAAGTGCACTGCTACTCAGATCTAAGAGTACATACCCAGTTCTAGATCTGAAGAAGGATGTGAGCCAGAAATCATAGACGAATGTTATGTTGTAAGATAGTCTCAGTCACTGTTAGGAATCTTTCTAGTGCCGTAAGAAGTTCTCAATGTCCAAAGCTCTGGAGGTGCCATGTCTCCTCTAAATCTTTGATGGCTTCTACGTAATATCTTCCCATAGGAAAAAACAAGTTCTGTATATTTTTATATAGAGAATAATAGAATTAGTTGGTCTCACTTTTAAGAAATCACTCCATGCCATACTGAAGTTCATTAGCTGTGAAGTCCTATAATACTCTATATTCTCTAAATGAAGCAATGATGAGTAGATTATCCAGTTTGGGGGTATGTTCAAATGTTTTCAAGTTCTAGATAAAAATCCAATTTACTGGTATTTTGACAGAGAAAATTCATAGACCTCAATTCCTAATCAGGAATGAAGAATCAAGTGCCACAACACATCTACACCAAAACTCACTGTCTTTACCCATTAATCTTTTTCCTTCACCATAAATTTCTCTCTCTCTCTCTCTCTCTCTCTCTCTCTCTCTCTCTCTCTCTCTCTCTCTCTCCCCCCTCTCTCCTTCCCTCCCTCTCCCCTGAAACTTTTTGTGTGTAACTGTACTTCATTTTTGTAAGAATCTGCACATATTTACCATCTTTGATAACATTGTAAATTCCAAAAATGAGAATGTCTTATATTTTAACTATATCTCTCTAAGAAAATGGATGCAAGAATATTTACAAAACAGTCCCAACTGTAAAGAAACCAGGAAGTCTACCTTCTCGCTATTGCACAGAGCACTTTCCAAGTGTGTAAAATTTTTAGTTTTTTTTTTTATGATGATAGAGTCCATAATAATGGATAGAAAAGAAACACAGTCAATTAAATTTTTCTTTTATTTTACTCAGATCATGTCAATTTTTTATTTTATTTTATTTTTTAATTTTTAAAAATTTACATTACAAACATGAAAATATAAAAGACTGAAAAGACAATGAATTAATACCTTAATGTACTTTTAGAAATAAAGTGTACCTGTAATGAATAATAACAATTCAGTTTTAGTTTTGCTGATTTATTCTTTAGATTTAAAATATTTAAAGAGTTATAAAGAATACATTTAAATTTTAATGAATAGTTAGATTTGTAAAATATACAAACTAAAATAGTCACTTAACAAATAAATATAGTATTTTGAAGTTCATACTTTTCCACTGCTTTAAGTCTTAAAGATAAATAAAACCAAAAAGTGGCCACATACAATGGTAAAATTGAAATGAGTCAAGTTTTGTTTTTTCATCTTTACCATGTGTTGTCATTATGTATGTGGATCTACTTTCTAACAAAGAAACATGTGTTAGAACTGCACCCAAAGAAGGCTAAAAAATAATGAAACTGTATGTTCAGCTCAAGCTGAGTGCTTGATCGTGTATATGTGTTTCTGTGTATATTTAGCGAGGCAACTCTATCCAAAGAATTTTCCAAAATAACCTCCATATAGGGTAAAATATTCATTAAGGGGTAAATAACAAACATGTTCCAATTTGAAGCTTGTGTCCATGTTTTTTAAAATCCAGCAATTGTTTAGAATTAATACCAAAAAGAGATCTTATTCCAGCAAAAGTCTTTTCCCATTGACATTGCTTAGGCTTGCTGATGTCTGGTGGTAATAAAAAAGCAGCACTAATTTTAGTAGGTTTTATTGTTTTTGAAATCTCTCCATGCAGTGCATTTCTTCTTTCCAGGCTTTGCCCTCGTTCTTCCACAACCTGAAACCTACTATCCTTAACAGAGATTATGACTGTGAAAAGACCCAGCACCAGGTCTCAGTAAGTTATGCTACGTTATGCTAGTGACCACAGGGAGAGTGTGACCATCACTGCCAGAATTTTTGTGTAAAGTACACAAAAGTTTTGTGTTATATCACTTTGCAGTTTATCATATCAGAAGTGGATTTTTTGTGTGGACTGTTATGACAAAATATATTTAGACTTTTTTCCCAATGATGCTAGGGACTTTTTAAATTCTCAAATGTGAACAAGGTTATAGCTTTCAAAATTAAGATAAAGAAAAGGCCTACCTTCTCATTCTTCACTTGCCTTAATAGCAGTGTAATGAAGAGATCTGGAATGTAGCTTCCCCCAGAAAAGTCTTCATCTCCTCAGTAAAATGTTGTTTTTTTCCTCCAGTTCATGAGCTATGAGTATTGTGACCTCAAGCAAATTTCTTAATATATATAAGCCTCAGTAAAATGGTTACTATAATAGTATTTTATTCCATAAAGTTGTTTAAAGAATTAAGTAATAATTCATGTAGAGTAAGTCTTACAATGTCTGGGATACTGAAATGACAAGCCATTAAAAATTGTTACCTATTACCATCTTAAAAATATAATTAGTTATATAACTCATGCCAAAGTAGACCCTAATTCCTCCTATGCCCTCTTTCTCAGTCTAAGTGCTGCATTGCCACCGTCACAAAGAGACTCAAGTGGTTAGAGCACGCACTACCCCCACTCATTGCTCTCTCAAATTAAAAAAAAATCTCTTATTTAATCTCTCAAACATTCCTTCTTCCCTGCAAACTAGCAGTGTTTCTGTGTGGAATTTTTATCAATCAGGTAGCTGGTGTCCTTTTGCTCTTCTCAAGTAAGAATCTTGGACAGGTGAAACATTTATATAATGCTGTTAATCCCAGGCCCTTGGTGAGTGTTGTAATCCTCAGCTTCTGGCAGCAGTGCACAGCAGCAGCCAACAGTGTCAAGCAGCAGTAGACCTTCTAGTGTAATGGTTCTCTTACAGGCCTTGGGTGCTGGGACCCTTAGCCCTACAGTGACAAGTGTTACAGCTCTGAAGCCTAGGTTGTCAGGATCCACAGCCCTTGACAGGAGAGGTTAGTCTTACAGCTCTTGGACTTCAGATGTCAGAATCCTCATCCTTGAGGTTTAACAGCTCTCTGGAACTCTTCCAGTGACTAGGGTCCACAGTTTCTCTTCTCTGTCTCTCTCTCTCTCTCTCTCTCCAACCTCAGCTCTCTTCATTTTTGCCCTAGCTACTCTGGAACTCTTCAGCTGCCTTTGCCACTCCCATAGGCTCTGCCATTGCCTTTACCCCTGCCACCTATGGCACTGCCAAAATTGTCAACACTGTTACCACCACCACCACTGTGTGGTGGCTACTGCCACTACCACTTGTCCTTTGTTCATGTACAAGCTCAGTCTGTACTACTAATGACAAAAATCAAAAATAGGCAAGAAAAACCTTAAGAGAGAGTCCTCAAGTGAAGCCTAATGTTGCAACACAAGGAGGCAGAACATGTGGGTGTCTTCTGGCTGACTCACAAACTGCACTGAACAGCCTGCTTATATAGCCAG